TCTCTCTCTCTCTCTCTCCTCTCTCTCTCTCTCTCTCTCTCTCTCTCTAGCATATGCACACTAGCTAGCAAAGAAGAACATACAAAGGCACAATATACAAATGCACTGACAACCCGACGAGTACACACACTCGTGACCCTGACAGAGACTAGAATAAAGCATCATAATCCATTTACCAGGTACTTCTGGTTGCCTACCGTCTTCACCGGAATAGAACGCGCGGTCATTATCGCGGCATTGGGACGGAAAGTTGTGCCAAATACATCTGTAATGACTGGGCGTTCTATTCGGGTGAAGACGGTAGCTTTCCTTCAAGTTCTCCCTTTCATAGTCGTCCCTGGCCTCCACCTGGGGGAGCTTTCTCAACGGTGTCTCTGGTTGAACTCCCAACCAGGTCACAAGCTATGCTGACAGCATTTCCACTTGGTTGCATGCTGCCCCTGGCCCATGCCAGCCACACGTGCGCGGCCGGCAAACAACAACACTAACGAGTACCACGCGCAGAAAGCCGGGGACCCGAGAGAGAGAGAGAGAGAGAGAGAGAGAGAGAGAGAGAGAGAGAGAGAGAGAGAGATGGTCTACAAACAACTCCCCATCCAATGGCCAACTAAAAATGCCATTATATTATATATATATCAGAGTGGACCCTCAGCTGCAGTGCTACAGCAAGCCACGAAAGCGCCAAGCGCTACAATGGACTACTATCGTGGGAAACCAGGGGGGATAGCAGGAGGACAAGGAGTACTGTACGGTGGGTAAGCAACCACTTGCGACGGAGAGAGGACCGGCATTCCTCCTGCAGGTGCATTTGGATAAGGAGATGTAGGAGCTGGATATGGAGGTGGGAAAGGTCCACCTTCTCCTCCAGGATGCATAGGATTATGTTGATGCCCCCCCCCCCTCCCTCCTGGTTGTGGCGGAGGCTGACCACAGAGCGGGCGGGGCGGATGGTATTCTCCTCCTCTTCATGGCTGTGGCCATGCGGTACGCATGCCCACCTCCTCCCGCTCCCCCTCCTGGTGGACCTGCGTATTGAGCGGGAGAACCCATCCTCTCCGGAAAAGCTTGACCACTTCTTGACCCTTCTCTCTGCATGGCCTCCGCCTCCTCGATGTACCATACCACAACACCGATGTTCGGCTGGTTTGCTGAATAAGGCTCGCAATTCATGATGGTGGAGTCCGCTAACTTCCACTGCGTGTCCGCGGAGCACGTGCCTTCAGCAATCCTATGATCGAGTACACTGCGTAGGCTCTCGTTCTTCATCTTCATCCTCACCCTCAAATCGCCGCCATCCCGTGATTATCTCCAATGACTTCATCCCCACGATCAGTTCCAACACTACCACACAGAAGCTGTACACATCCGTCCTTCCTGTCAACCGATGGGTTTGGAAGTACTCCGGGTCCGGGTAACCTTGTGTTCCCTTTATGTACGTCATCAAGGGAGTGTACTCCTCGTTATTGGGGTGAAGTTTTGACAATCCAAAGTTCGACAGCTTCACATGCATCTTCTGATCAATCAAGATGTTGGACGGCTTGATATCGCGATGCATGACGTCCGACGTCATGTGGAGATGAAGATAACTTAGCGTGCGTGCCACATCAAGAGCTATCGAGATCCTAGTGAGCCACGACAATCCCGATGGCGTAGCCTTGGAGCCGTACTGATGATCGTTCGGAGTCCTGTTCGATATGTTCCCGTAAACCACGGTGAGGCACCCAGTGTCATTGGTCATTGGACTCATTGCAATATCCTACGGAAGTGACAAGGTGCCGATGATGAAGACGGGGAAGAATTCCAATCTCCGTGACAAGCTCATTGAGTCCCTGGCGCGAATTCATACCCAGGTTCTTGATGGCCACGGTCTGTTGAGTGTGCACTGAAGTTTGAAGGCTAACCTTGTAAACCATGCCAAACCCACCCCCTCCCAATCATCGTGGAAAGGTCGAAATTGTTAGTAGCTCTGTTTATCTCCTCTGCCGAATACTTCTTCACCTAAGAATCCTTAGCCATCAGCTCCGGAATTTTTCCGGCTTCGGAATATTGTGGTCGGAATCCAGCTGGTTCATAGGATACGTCATGGAGCCGCTCTTCTACGACCCCATAACCCATCGCAGGCGAATTTCTCTTCTCCCCTACTTTTGCTAACCTACAACTAGACAAACTACTCAACAAGTGCACACTCCACTGGCAACCCTCCCCTCTGCCGCCTCCCCGCTTCACGGCACCCACATCTTCGCTGCTGCCACCTCCCCACTTCATTTTGGCAAGGCGCTTTCTTCACCTTCTTCACTCTCGTTACTGAAGATTTTGGGCCTGGCTGCACTACTCTCGAAATGTGCGAAATGAGAGTGAATATTACGATAGAATACGGAAAGATACACGGCCAATATTTTTGTCTTTCGTGCATGTCGAGAGTAGTGCAGCGAGGCCCATTAGGGAAAACTTGTGCGGGGAACCTTTCGGGTTAGGACTTACATTCCAGCTTATTTGCACCACCTCGCAATCGTGTGTCACGCTACAGCGTCCTCGCCGCCATGTCAGCTACCCTATCCTGGTCCTTGTTTTCACCTACGCTATCCTGTCCTTGTCTTTCAGTCTTGCAATGCAGTCGCAAGACAGAGAGAAAGAGTCCAGAAACAAAAAAAAAAACACTGATTCAAAAAGAAAACACTCACATTAATTAGGAAGGAAAAAACCACTAGTTCGAAACAGGATACACCAGCAGTCGACTACCGAATATCCTTTGATCGATCCCTGATGAGTTGTGTAAGGATGAATAAATTGATTGATTACCAGGATGGACTGATTGATTCCCTGATTGATTACTTTCATGACTTGCTCGTCAAGGAGCGCGGCGTCAGCAACATCCAAGGGAAAAAGCTGAGCTTGTCGAAAACGACCGGATCCTTGTTCACGTCCTCCTCTCTCCTCTCCTCTGGTGCGTTATTTCCCTCGTGCTTCATAACTAGCCCGCTACTTCTTCTTCCTACCTTCTTTTCCCAAATACAATGTATGATCATTATAACTGCATGAGGACTCAAAGATACCCCAAATTCAGCTAGAATGACCGTACGTGTGGTACTCGGGGAAAGATGGTAACTAACCCTGCCCTCCTTCCCCGCTTCAAACACTCGGTCTTGCCACTGCGACTATCCACATCCTTCCACCTGTGACTCTGCCTGCTCTGCTCCTTTAGCCCGCTGGCTTCTGACGCTAAGAAGATGTCAATCCATGGCATTCTCTCCTTTTGCGGATGCCACTCACACCATCCCTTCCCTCCTCCTACACTACCCACTGCCACTTCGCCACGTGACGGAGTCAGAACCACTTCATCACTCACAGTCTAACCATGATCCGATCTCTCGCCGTTGAGGAGGAGGTCTTCGCACCTCCACCCCCCCCGAGAAACTCATTATCTTCGCAGCACCCTTCAGCCACTTAGTGGTGACCTTGTTTCCCACTTCCCCTGCTTTCGACTGTTTGCAACTTTGCGAACTGCTTTCCGTGACGAACATGCCCAACTCGTCCTCCGCGTCCATGGCCTTTCCGTCTCGCCTTTTCGAGTCCTCAATTACACATCAACTTGCAAACAAGCAGGTCCAAGGAACCTTCTCTCCAGCCTCTCCTACTTCGCCAGCCTCTTTAACCCAACCAGCCTAACCTCCCTCCTTCCCAAACCCCTCGAAAGGTCTGGTGCCACAAAAAAAAAGGTCTTCATTGAAGACTTGGATGCAAAAGGTCGAATCCTTGGTTTCTTCTTCTTCTTCTTCTTCATTATAGCTATGGCCACCAGTCGCTAAGCAAGCGTTCTTAAGCCTCAGGCCTCTCCTCTCTCTCAAAGTTGTGTCCCCGGTGGCTCCAAACCGTTGACAAAATACGCATAACCAAAGAAATTGCATGAAATATGTAAATTGATCTACTGGAGGAATTTTTTTTGGTACTAATTACACAAGCGGCCGTGCACGCCTGCATATGAAAGGTAAGCACGTGAAATGTACAAAGGCTGAGACAGCACTAGCTGCAGGTGTGCCCGCAATGCCCGACGGGGATCTAGACGCGGCCTCGGAAGAGATGTTTGCACAGCTAGAGGCGCAGTTGATGCCTCGTCACAAGGAGTCTGTGGTTGTAGAGGAAAAGCCTGCACACCCAACAATCGCAATTCCACTTATGCAATCGTTTATTGAGCAGAAGAGTGCCGCTGGAGTGACCACCAAGGAGGTTTAGGAGAAACAAATCTGGCCTGCCTCTACAACAACATGGGCTTTGTCAAAAAAAAAAAAAAAAAAAAGGAAAAGCAAGTTAGCTCACGAGAACTGTTGATGTTGTAACTGTCCTTTAGGACACCTTGGAGTTTCTTTGTTTCGTAGTCGTTTGCTTTTTTTTTTTTTTCTAATATAAAAAAACTGCCTTCTCCTCGTCGGGGGACCGCCATATATTTTTCTCTCACCTGACATATTCTTTTAACTGTTGTTCTGCCATGTCATGGAACATATCTTTCTTTCACTACCTACCTACCACTACTCCTAAGGCTATACAGGGCACCCCTGCAAGCATAGCGCTTTTGCTTCTACTTTGTCTTTTTTTTTTTTACCTTTGCAAGGAAGATGAGCAATAGCGAACTTCAGCAATCAGACAGCATCATATACACAAGACTAGATAGTCGTGACCTCGAACCAACAGCAGAAATGCATCACGAGTTTCACTAAATAAGAACACACCAAGAGCTCATAATTGACAATGCTTGTAAAGTCTCATCATCATCATCAACGAAGAACCAATGTTGATATCGTATCTGGCGCTCGGCGCCCAGACTACAGATGGCAGATCCTATCTAGCCTAGACTACAATGACGAATAATGACGTCAACAGCTTTCCCGAAGTACGAGCATACAGCGACCAATGTTGCACGCTTCCAGCACCAGGTATGTCTCTCGCCTCACTCACAACCTCGTTCCCCAACACGCAGATGCCACTTGCACCCAAGGACCACCCTGCGCCACACCCAGCTTACAGCAGCGCAGCTCGGCTATGGCTGCCTCCTCCTTCCCTGCTCGCCCGTGAGCGCGTGAGTGCCAGCGAGCTTCAGCGCAGCAGCGCTTGCGCAGCATGCAGCCAGCACCCGAATGATGAATGCGGAGGCAGGCCCTTTGCTATATCGAAGTGGCCTGCCTGTGTCCAGTCCCAGGAAGCTTCCAGTAGGGCCCGGTAGCCTGAGGCCCAGCACGATCGAGGTGGTTGCATGCACCCAACTGCCTTTGGCATGTGTTTGGCCCAGTACCCGTATCCAGCCCAGGGCCTGCTTTCCATACATTCACAGAGGCGGCCCAGGGCCTGGGTTCTCTCAACCAACTGGCGCTGCACAACTGCCTGAATTTCCTTAGTTGCGCAGTGGCCAAAATAGGGCCCTGAGGACCTCGTCGAGCCTGCCTTCACTTAGGGCGGCCGACTGGCTCCAAAATGGGGGCTGAATGGGGCTCATAGAGGCAGTGGCCTCGCACCTTTCTTTAAAAAAGAATTGCCAATCTTTTTTTGACCTTGCGGTAAACAAGATGGGGATCATGTTATGTGCTTGACTGCTAGTAAAAATATGCAAAGAGTTTTTTTTTCTTTTTTCTTTTTTTTTTGTTTTAAACAAAGTTCACCCCCAGTGGTGCTGATAAGAGCAGACAGTGCCAGACACCACTAACACCTGGGGAGAGGCTCCATCTATTAGTGGGGAGCATCACCTGCTGGAAAGCGTCCCTTACACAGACTGAAATTGAAGTACAGCAGAAAACAATTGTGGGGTGTTCCTGCCAGCATTGATTGCCCTGGGATCCAGGGGATTGACTGGGCAGGGTATTAGGACGAAGGGGGAACCTCTTCACCTGGAATCCTGGCACCAGATACACTGGTACACCGTACACCCTAGTTCCTCCCTCCCCTATTGCCACAGTAAGACGATCTGTTTTCCTTCATGAGGGTGTACTAAGAAAACATCTGCGAGCATTGATTGCTCTGGTGTCCAGAGGATTAACTGTGCAGGTTCTGTGGCTAAGATCTAATTTCTTCCTCCCTCCGCTGCTTCCACACACCCTGTCGCAGTTCCGCTTTCTGGGATTGCTGTTGCCTGAAGGCTGCTACATCCTTGGCACGAATTTATTCTGCACCGTACCAATTGCAGATCCACCACTGAGAGTCCGTGGGGCGGGAAGGGGTCAGGGAACTCCGATGAGGGGCGCAGTGGTATTGCACGGTCTGTCCTGATCCATGAAACAAAGGGTGTAATCTCTTCTTAGCTCACCTTGACTGTACTCCGGGGGCACCTCTTCTTTCCATCGAATGTAGGCTATCCAACCCCCTTGCTCAGTCCCCAACCAGTCCCCTGAGAATTGTTTGATAGCTTGGGATATGTCCCTTTCTGTGTCAAGGCCGTCTCCTAGCTGTGATTTTACCTTCAACCAATGTGCCCGCAGCTCATCTTGGAATTATTGTTTAAAAGTGATTCCCAGGAGTTTTTGACATGAGTAATACCGTAATTTTTCCCTCCAAGACAACCCGCTTATATCCTATTAAAGCAACATGTGAGTCGATGATGTAACTGGTTTGGGCCCAACATGTATGTGGATAATGTGGCTACTACGAGTGCCACTCACTTTCTTTTTTCTACCGTCCATTGAAAGAGCCAGCAACATTAATAACATGATGGCAAGGGCTTCGGCTTGGAAAGAAGATCTGGGAAAGGCATTCAAAGAAGAAGAAAAAGATCGATCTCGAAAATGAACTCGATAACCGCGAAGATTTTCACAGCCGGCTGAGAAA